GTTAGATTTCGTATTTATCAATATGTTATGACTGGGGACATATCCAAAATGTACCGTCAAATACTTATTAGTTCAAATGAGACAAAGTATCAAAAGATTTTCTGGCGACCACAACCTGATCAAGAACTGAAGGTTTTCAAATTAAATACCGTTACATATGGTACGGCTTCTGCGCCCTATCTGGCTGTCAGATGTTTAGTTCAGATTGCGAATGAAAATCAAATAAATTTCCCGGTAGCTAGCAAAATAATAAAGAGAGATTTTTATATGGACGATCTTTTAACTGGATCTGATTCAATTCCAGAATTATTAGAATTACAAAAAGATATTGTTAGATTATTGGCAAACTATGGATTTGAACTCAGAAAATTTTTGTGTAATAATAAGGAATTATTAAATGAATTTGAGATTAACCAAGATTTAGACGTTGGTATACTCAACATAGGAGAAAATGAACAAAATAAGACTTTAGGTGTATTTTGGGATGCTAATAATGACCATATTAGATATAAAATAAATGCCACTGAAAATGTTGTCAATAAATTATCAAAACGCACGATTTTATCTACAATATGTCAAGTTTTTGACCCCTTGGGCCTTCTTGGTCCAATTGTTATTACTGCGAAACTCATAATTCAAGATCTGTGGAAATTGAAGCTAGATTGGGATGATGAACTTCCTCAAAATTTATTAATTACTTGGAATTCATTTTATAATAATTTTCATGACATAAGTAATTTGAAAATTCCCAGATGTGTAGTTTTTTCTAAATATATAGATATTGAAATGCACGGCTTCTGTGATTCATCAATTAAGGCTTATGGGGCGTGCATTTATTTAAGATGTTTGACTTCAGATGGGAAATATTATTCTAATTTATTGTGTGCAAAATCCCGTGTTGCTCCATTAAAACAGGTGAGTTTGCCACGTTTGGAATTATGCGGAGCATTACTGCTGGCAAACTTGGTGAAAAAACTAATGGTCTTAGAGATAAATTTTAATAAATTTTATTTTTGGAGCGATTCAACAATAACATTGTACTGGATCCGAGGTGAGTCAAGCAGATGGAAAACGTTTGTGGCCAATAGAGTCAGTGAAATTAGGTCTCTTACTAATTATCATGACTGGCATTATGTGAAATCCAGGGATAATCCCGCGGATTTATTGACTAGGGGAACGACTATAGAAATTTTAGACAAATCGAAATTATGGTGGCACGGCCCTGACTGGTTCTCACAAAAGGAATTAATTTCCAATATAATTGAACCCGAACTTGATTCAGATGATCTATGTGAGCAACGAGTTGTGGCCTTCTATGCTATCAGCACTTTCAATGAGATGCTATCAATTTTAGAGTACTATTCTTCATTTCGCACTACTTTAAATATTGTAGCTTATATCCTTCGTTTTGTCAAAAATGTTAAATTGAATTCTCAAGAAAGAATTAAGGGTCCTCTAGTGCCAGAGGAGCTTGAAAAATCTCTATTTTTAATAATAAAAACTGTTCAAATAAAATGTTTTTCGGAGGAATATTCTTGTTTGAGTAAAGGTCAAAAACTAAAAAATTCTAGCAAAATTTTGTCTCTTGATCCTTTTTTGAATGACGGTATTATAAGGGTCGGTGGAAGAATCAAGCATTCAGATCAATCTTTTGGTAAAAAACATCCTATATTATTGCCACATAATCATTTTTTGACAACACAAATTTTACGATCGGAACATAAGAGGCTACTTCATTGTGGAATCCAAAATTTGTTGTATTCGGTCAGGGAAAATTATTGGCCCATCTCCGGTCGAAATGCGTGTAAAAAGGTAGTAAGAGAATGCGTTAAGTGTTTCAGAATATCTCCTAGGGACAATCATTATCTTATGGGTGATCTTCCAACGGTTCGTGTTGCTTCACACTGTGTATTTAAAAATGTTGGTACGGACTATGGAGGACCATTCATGTTGAAGGATAGGTTGACTCGCGGAGCCAAAATGGTAAAAGCCTATATGTGTCTTTTTATATGTATGTCCACGAAAGCCATACATATAGAGTTAGTGTCAGATTTGACAACGGAAGCCTTTTTGGCTGCATTTAAAAGGTTCGTAAGTAGGAGGGGCATGCCAACTAATATTTATTCGGATAATGGGTCAAATTATAAGGGAGCTAGTAACGAGATTAGTAAATTATATGAGTTTTTATCAAGGCACTCAGAGTATATTGCCAATCAAATGTCTTGTGATTATATCAAGTGGCATTTTATACCTGCCTCTTCTCCTAGCTTCGGAGGTATTTGGGAGGCTGGCATCAAATCAGCAAAAAGTCACATCAAACGCGTCATAGGTTATACACGTTTGACGTTCGAAGAATTCGCTACGGTATTGACACAGGTTGAAGGTGTTCTAAATTCGCGGCCACTTTGTCCACTTACCCATGAACCGGACGATTTATCCCCTTTAACACCTGGACACTTTCTCGTTGGAAAACCACTCACTAGCCTTCCTGAACTAGAGGTAACTAGTATTCCGACCAATCGCCTGACTAAATGGAAACATCTTCAAGCCATGTACCAGCATTTTTGGCAGAGATGGCAGAAAGAATATCTGTCAGAGCTACAAACCCGCATTAAGTGGAAGCAGCGCTCTGAAAGTTTAATCAAGGTTGGAACATTAGTTTTAGTGAAAAATGATAATGCTCCACCTATGCACTGGCTATTAGGTAGAGTAATTGAATTGTGCCCAGGTCAAGACGATGTTATTCGAGTTGTAAAAATAAAAATGAACGATGGTGTTATAACTCGAGCAATTAACCGTGTTTGTGCGTTGCCCATTGACTCTTAATTCAACAAACTGTAGTATATTTAATTTTAGTTATAGGTTAATGTTTATTTGCTGCATAGAAGTTTTTGGTAATGATGCTAAACAAAATTTAGTATATTTGTTAGTAACCTTGTTTTGAGATTGTATTAGTAGAGTAAGTTTTTAGAAGAGTATTTATATGATTTCAGTTGATTAGGAGGTGACTTCATATTACGTTTATCAGTGAAATTTGTAATAGAATTATGTTTGTATTTTTTGAAGTACTTAGGTACTTTCAAGGCGGGCGGTATGTTAACAATCGAAACCAGGTAGAAACCAGTACGCTAACAATCGAAACCAGTCGAATCAACTGTAAGAGAATTGTCAGAAATAGTCATTGAAGCTGCCACAAAAATTGTAATCTCCTCCTGATAATATAAAAGAATACTGGAAAACAGTTCCACTTGTGTATCATTTCACAGTCAAAACAAATTGTAATCTTCATTTTTCCGATCCGGAATTCAAAACGCTCGTCAGAGTCACTCTGGCAGATCGATAAGAAAAAATCAGAATGTGTGTGCCGAGGTGTGTGCTGTATAATAAAAATATCGAGAAAAATATACCTATACATTTTTTTACGTTATATGAGTTCAGATTCTGAATTCAGAAAGACATTCTGTCTGTGTGAGGCTGGCCTAAATTCAGAAAGACATTTCGGCTGTGTGAGGTCGGCCTTCATTCATGTTTATAACTAAGTTTCCTTATACTATTAGTGACATATTTTATTTGAAAGTTTCATCTATGTATACTCCTAATATTTGAGAGAAGAGATTCTTTGAACTATTTCAACACAATTATATTGAATATCCAATTTGCATGAAGCACCATGTAATTTAATACTCCGAAAATCTGGTAATGAGCTCGTAGATAAAGAAAAAGTTATTATTTTAGTTCTATCTATATTGATAGTAAACTGCCATCTTGCCATCTTTTAATTTTTTGCAAAGCCTTTTCAGCACTCATTTTTAGAAATTCCCAATTATCCCTACTAATTACTGCACAAGAATCATCTGCAAAGCAAAGGATATTTTCTCTATCAAGCAAAGATATAATGCCATCTACGTATATATTATTATTAAAAAGTAATGTAGAAAGCACCATATACCCTGCGGCACTCCAATTTCCACTTCTAGTTTATCGCTTTGAACACTTGATATGTTTGTACATAGTACTTTATTTTCTTTTGGTTCAGTGATTTAATATGATTCATTGGAATACTTCTAATACCAACTATCTCCAGACGTTTGAAAGTAGAATCGAGTGTGCCACAGTGTCAAATGCCTTCTGTAAGTTAAGGAAAATTCCTATAACTTTTACAGCGCATTTTCTGTACTGGAATTTTTCCTGAAACTAAATTGATTACAGTGCAAGAGTTCATTTTTTTCGAAGTATGTCAATAATTTTGTTCTGAAACACTTTTCAATAATTTTATTTACAGTTAAAGTTTAACAGCTGTATGCAACATCCTCTTTTAACTTAAAAGCGCTTTTTAAAACTGGTCATTTTTAAAAATGTGTATTCTAAACCATACAAATTTTTGAAGGTACCAGTTTTAAAAAGCGCTTTTAAGTTAAAAGACGATGTTGCATATAGCTAGCATAGGCCTATAGTTGTTTGTACATTTTTGTTTCCCATTTTTATAGAATGGTAAAATTCTCGTCGTTTTCAAGATTTCAAGAAAAATCCCAGTACTGGAAGTAACATTTACTATATAATGAAGTGGCTTTTTCAGTGGTTCAACATATTATTATTTTTTCACGATATTGGAACAAAATCAATCCTCTCCCCTTTGACCTCATTTTTTAAATTATGTATTTAGGTTTTAATTTCTTTTTCTGAAATAGGAGCCAAAAAAAAAAGAATTTAGTGTGGTCATTTTAACTTGATAACATCATAAACTGTCATAATTTCGTTATTTTTAAAGTTATTTAAATAAGGCCTGGTTTATTCATCTAAGTTATCTCAAGTGCTGTGGCACACCACTCTCCCAAACTAACAGATACGGAGAGTGAGAGCAATTTGTTGAAGAAGCAATAGGAAGGACTTCCTTTTGAATCAAACAAACTATACTTAAAGTTTCAAAAGACACTTACTGTTTTTAGAATAATATGAACTAAAATCAAAATCAGCGTCGTCAATTAATTTGTTATTTTCAGGCCCAATCAGTCGAACCAGAACTAGTATCCAAACTACTCGGTCACGGCGTGGCAGTTTCACCGATTGTCACCGTAGAGCCCAGAAGGAGAAAGTTCCACAAAGCTATAATGCTGAGCATGCCCGCACCCAAAGCGCACTCTCAAGGAATGATCAACCAGTACCAAGGAGCTTCTAGTACCACCTTGAGACTACTCTGTTCCATTACAGGTGAGCGTTTTGTGTAACAATAATACGGATTAGTTTATAATGTGAAACTTTCTGTTAGACTTTTTCCTTGTTTTTTTTTTGGTTTTTTTGGAGAGCAGTGTACAACAGGGTGGCATGTTTTCTGTGTTTTATTCAGTTATGATTACAGCTGAATTTGTTTACTAAATGGGTCAATTTGCAATTTAATGTCACCTAGGTAAAATTTTTACAATATAATATGTACCTATATCACAAGTATTACAGATATCTAACCAGCTAACCATAATGGTACTGATCCAAGAAATGTAACTCAGCAAAAATAAGCCACCCTATATTACACCCTTGCATGCGTAGTCCCTTCTATCTAAATGTTATCTATATTGTTGCAAATCTCTCTTATTCTACCGTTCATGCTACTTACAGGAACTAAATCAGGTAAAATTTAGTTCCCATTTCTCTTAATGTGTATTATTTTGTTAAAAAATTAAATTTTGTATTCGCCAAAGGAGGCCAAAGCAAAGCAGTGTGGGAAGACGTCACCGGTTCTACCCCCTTAACGTTTGTCAAGGACTGCGTCTCGTTTACCACAACAGTTTCTGCCAGATTTTGGTTGATGGATTGTCGTAATGTAGCCGACGCTGCCAAAATGGCCACAGAACTTTACACACAAGTAATAATTTCATTTTTAATGAGTCTTTTGTATGATGTAAAATTATTCTTTTGCAGGCTGCCCATGTTCCTTTTATGGCAAAATTCGTTGTTTTCGCCAAACGTGTCAGTCAATTGGAAGCTAGAGTTCGTGTATTTTGTATGACGGATGATAAAGAGGATAAAACCCTGGAGCATCAGGAACATTTTATGGAAGTTGCCAAGAGTAGGGATATTGAAGTATGCCAACAATTACTGTAACATTGAAAAATAATTAATTGATGGTTTATTGCAGCTTTTGGAAGGCAAAGATATTTATTTGGAATTTGCTGGTAATTTGGTGCCAGTTTTGCAGTCCAACGACCAACCTAAATTGGGATTTAAGGCTTTTAAAGAGAATCGCTGTGCATTCAGTATGAGACTCAGAGATCATGTAAGAATTATTTCAAAATATTTATTCATAAAAAATGCTTAAAATTGTTTATTTTTAAGGATGAAGATCCAATTGGAAGAATTATTTTCATGGCTGAATCAAAAGCAGGCAGAACAGGATACACTCCTAGCAATCCCTTGTGCACTCTCAACCTTATTCTGCCTAAAGACCTGCAACCTGACAGAGACTCTCATAGCGATTTATTGTCTATTAATAAAGATCACAGTTATCTTCAACATGGAGGAATTAGTGAGCAAATAATCAATTTTTCACAAAAATTTTACTAAAATAATATATTTTTAGGTAAACCAGACACTATTCATCGAGCGGACTTTCGTCTATCCGACATCTGCAATCTTTTAGATGACGACTGGGAAAAACTCGCTCTAGAACTAGACGTAACGCCCTCTGACGTTGAACTAATCAAAGAAGAGTACCCGGAAAATCATCCGCAACAAGCCATGATCATGTTCCGGTTGTGGCTCAGACAAAAAGCCAACAAAGCCACCGGAAATCAATTGGAAAGGGCCCTGAACAAAATCGGCCGTCAGGATATTGTGGATAAGTGTATTTGTAACGTGGAAATGGTCACAGATGATATGGAAAAGGCTTTGGCCAAGATACATTTGGATCAGTCTGGATTTGATTATTTGAAAGATGAATTGGGTCCTTCCAGGGATACTTCTTTGAGGAGGGATACTCATCTTGATCGTTCGTATCTTGGTAGTGAAGAGAAATTGGAGAGAAGTGAAAAAAGTGGTAAGAATTTTGTAGATTAATGGTCCTCAAATATTCATTGATGGGACAATTATCAAATTTTAAGACAAAAATACTCTAGCCCAATAAAATAGTATTTTTGGTAGGAAAGTTTTGGGTTAGGTTTTGAAGTGAAAAAAAGTGGGTTTTTGGGACAAATAAAATACGACAATTTTTGACTAACGATTAAGCCCAAACGGTTCCTCTTGATAATGAGATTTTGAGATTGTAAAGCCCGCATTACATCTGTGTATTTTTTCATGTTTTTCTACATGTATTTATGCATGTATAAATTTATAAATTTATTCACGTGATAACTTGTAAATACAAGGCTTTACATTCGTGTATTTCTTCATGTAGAAATATACGAAAAAATACACAGATGTAATGCGAGCTTAAAAGAAAAGTTTTATATCAGAAATTAAAGAAGCACATACAACGACTCCGACATGACAAATTTTTCCAATGTAATTTCTATATGATTTTCTTGATTTATAATTATCTTTCCCGGTTGATTCTTAATTTTCATTTCTAAAAATATAGCAGGATTTTCATCCATTGTGATTTCAAGTTCATTTTCAAGTTTTTGAATCAGATTTTTCATGTCTTTTTCACTTTTGCTAATTATCAGATCAGGCCCTTGTTGAGGAAAAAGTGGTTGTTTTACTTGTAAGCATGTTTCACAAGTTTTATCTAGGTTGTTACAGTCACTTTTGAAGCTCCTGAATCTACTACAAATCCCATAAAGTCTTCATTATTATTATCTGCTTGTGTCAGAAAAGCCACCTTTTATCACTTCTATTTCTAGAGCTTGCTTCATTTTTATTTCCGAAGAAGCAGTTTTCTTGTGATTGGTTTTTCTATACAGGGTGTTAATAAATAGTGGGATCAAACTTCTAGGATAAATAGTACTCATTAAAATAAGAAAAAAATTGATGGAAACATAGGTCCGCAAATGCTTAGTTCTCAAGATACAGGGTGTCAAAGTTTGAAAAAATCGGTTTTTTAAAATCAGTTTCCCGAATTTCTTCAAACTTGGCAGATTTGTTTGTAATAATAACAAAAGGTATCTTTATTTCAGTTAGATTCATAGTTATTATTCCAGTGGCGCCCTATAGGACCACTACGTTGGTAAAAGTAGAAAAAAATGGCATGTCACTATTTTTTTGAAACTTTGATATTTTTGCAGATCAAGTCATATTACAGTCAAAACTCAAAAGATACCTTTTGTTATTACAAACAAACCTGCCAAATTTGAAAAACAAAATTGGAAAAAAAAAATTTGACCTAAAAAACCGATTTTATTTCAAACTTTGACACCCTGTATCTTGAAAACTAAGCATTCGCGGATCCAGGTTTTTATTAACTTTTTTCTTATTTTAATGGGTACTATTTATCCTAGAAGTTTGATCCCATTATTTATTAACACCCTGTATATTTAACATGGTGTTTTTCTTGCTTTGCAATTTTTTGCTAAATGGTTCGGCTTTCCACAATAGGGTACTTTACAATTTTTTTTAAATTTTTTTAATATTATTTATTTATGCCAGGCCTGGATTAAGGGGGGTTCTACTGGTTCCATAGAACTGGGCCCAACGTTCCAAGGGGCCCTCACGAGATCGAAGATTAGACAAAAAAAATTTAAACTTGAATGTACAGCCAATTTGGACACTTTCTTATGGAAACACCCTTTATTTTTAGAGATAGAAAAAAATGAACCCCCCACTCTGAGGCTCAAGTTTCATGAAATTTTGATTGGTGCAAACCGCATTTTGATATCTTCAACCGTTTAGCCGCTAGAAGGCGATTCTCGATTTTGAGCAATACTGTGAAACCTTCATAACTTTTTTATTTATGAAAATAATTAATTTCTGTAAAGACTTTCTGGAAGCACTTTTTTAAGTGGAATTCAGTGACGTACTCAGCTTTTTTCTATTTGGCTCCAATTCCGAGATATTGACCAAAATCCGATTTTTTTCAATAGGATATCCTATATATTAATAGCTCATTGAAAAGCTCTGCTTTTGCTGATTTCAATGATATAAAATTGGATAGGTTTATCTCCAATGGTTCCCGAGAAATAAATTATTTCGATTTTTGTAATAAGACACAATGTGTTGGAAAAAGACTTTATATCTGTAAGGAAAATGAGAAAGGTCTCTTTCTAACACATTGTCTCTTATGATAGAACAGAATTTTTTTTTTTCTGGAAAACTATTAGGGATAAACCTATCGAACTTTACATCATTGAAATCAGCAAAAGCAGAGCTTTCCAATAAGCTATTAATATATAGGGTGTTCTATTGGCTATTTTGATTTTTTTTAAAATTATTTTCTTAGCGAAAAGGTAGAGGGTGTGCACTTTATACTGGTTCACCCTGTACCTAAGTAATTATATTCATTGGATACATGTTTCCAATTTTTTATTATGGATGTCCATTGAATGGCTATTTACACCGACCAAGAAGCCTTAGCGATAAGTATTCCTGCCGCCCAGTTTCACAAACAGCGGTAACCCAACGGTAACTACAACACACTGGTACCCAACAATAGATATATCTGTTTCATAATATATGGTTTAGCCAAAACCACTGGTCGAGCTATAGAATACTTAACTCAAAACTTAAGGCCGGGACACATCCATCGTCCATTCTTCCGATCCGACTCCGATCATACAATCAAGGTCCTTATTCTTGGAACAGAGGAGTAGCGTTCCCAGGAGAACGCCTACAAACGCTGCTCCCTGTTCCAAGAATGAGGACCCTGATTGTATGATCGGAGTCGGATCGGAAAAATGCATGATAGATGTGTCCAGGGCTTTATTTTGCAAACTTGTGGTCAACCCGCAACTATTAGTTCAATAACCACTGAAGGTTCTACCAATTGTGAAACTGGGCCTAATAGTTGCGGTTTAACCACAAGTTCACAAAATAAGAATTGAGTTAAATACCTTGAAATTTGATCAATGGTTTTGGCTCAACGACACATTTTCAAACCAGATATATTGTGGGTTACCAATGCTTTGTGGATAACGCTGTTCATAAAACTGGCCCTTAACATGATTGTTGGATTTTCTAATAATTATTCCTGATTTTGATATTATTATTTATATTATGGTGCAATCTATCCTTATTGTATTGGTTACAAGTATTGGTGCAATATCAATTTTCCCAAAACATAAAAAAACCCACAAGAAGGAACAAGTTTTTTAATATGCTTCTTCCCCCCAAATTCCAATAATGGACTCGTCCACACCTAGATATTTTAAGGGAAGCGCCATTTCTGTAAAAATTCCTAGTCGAGTCGTGAGTTGGCTATCGCATAAATAGGTACTGTGCTACCCGCCGTATTGAAGAAGCGGCGTCGCGAAGTCGCGTCCAAATTTTAATTAATTAGCAAGAAATTGCTATTGCACAAAATACAGACAATAAATAAAAAATGTAACTTTGTTTATTGCCGATTGTCATCGTAATGTTTTGAAAAGTTAATACAGTCCACTTTTATTAAGAACAACCCGGTGTTTCGTAATTATTTTCTATTACATAACCTCTCGGGTAAAAATGAGCTATTGAAGCTTTTATGTGTTAACATAAAATTTGATCCTTTCGAGTGCCGGATTCGATTCGTGTGTTATCGTCGGTTTTGTACATACTCTTGTGTAAGAGTATACTTGTGTAAGAGAACTTTGGATTGGTTCTACGGTACGTGTGTACCTACATATTCCTTGTTCGGAGTGTTGGAGCTGAAATACCTACCTAGTTGGAGTTGTGAATCTCTACGAGGACTAAGGTCAGAGCTTTCCATTTGTTTTTATTAATCTATGTTGAGTTGAGATTGATAACGTCGAGTTTTTTCTATGCTTCACAAGTTTTGTCCTTTAGCAGACACAATGGAATAAAAAGACAATTTTTGATAGAACAAAAAGACACTTTTTATTTAAATAAAAAACTAAACTCATTTCATTGAATTGAAGTCAAAAAAGATTGTTAAACTTAAATTTTGTTTAATTATTCAAGTTCATAAAAATGGAGGAAGAACTAAAAACATTTATTGCTGATAGAAAAAATGCTAGAGCTAGTATTACTAGGATTGAAACTTTTTTAACAAGAAATCAAAATGATTTAATGCATAAATATGAGTATGAAAATAGGCTTGAAATGTTGGAAAAAGCTTTTGAAAAATTCTCCATTTCACAAGATTCAATAGAAAATATAGGAGCAAGTGCAGAAAAAATAGGCGATAGGTCAGAAACTGAAGATAAATTTTTCAATTTAAAAACAATACTAAAAATTTTGATTGACAAATGTTCTCCTGTCTTGAATAATGTAAATACAAGTGTAAATAGTAATGTTTCTCAAAATAACTCGAATAATTGTACAATAGGTTCTAAGATGCCTGAGATAACTATCGATAAATTTAAAGGAGCTCATCAAAATTGGTCAAGCTTTTTTGACATTTTCAAAGCGTTGGTTTTAAACAATCCCAATTTGGCAGATATACAAAAATTAATCTATCTAAAATCCAATTTACAGGGTGAACCTTTAAAGCTTATTGAGAATTTGCCATTAGTAAGTAGCAATTTGCAGGTATCAATAGATATTTTGAAAGACAGATATGAGAACAAACTAGCTAGTATTTACTCTCATATTAAAGGCCTATTGGAACTTCCATCCATAAATAGAAGCAGTTCTGCTAGCTTACGTGATTTTGTTGTTTCTATAAAGCAACATACGGAGTGTCTAAAAAATCTCAGAGTTCCGGTGGCGGAATGGGATTTAATTCTGGTTTTTATTTTGTCACAAAAGCTAGATATTAATACTAGAAGAGTTTATGAATTAGAGAGGGGTCCTACACTAATGCCAACGCTGGTTGATTTCCTAAATTTTGTGGAGAAACGCTGTCAGGCTGCCGAGAATTTGTCTTCTCCAGAGCCTATCAAAAAACATTCTAATTTTGTAGAGAAAAAGTTATTTTGTCTATATTGCAAATTAAATAATCATATG